CCCAAGCAAGGAGATAATGCCATCTACATGCTTTAGAAGCAATCGGAACCCAAATCTTAAACAGGATACAAGCGATAAACCTCTCACTCAGTTATGTGCCATGCGTGATACACGCTTAGGTGATCATGTATCTTTTTGATACATGACTGACGAGGCAGATCTTTTTCCCACAGTAGGTTGCCATTCTTTCTGCAGAAGACCTGTTGCCATCCAAGGCTATAGAACCCGGTCTGTCTTGCTATTTATCCATAGCTGGGGAGAGGATTCATACATTTCCCAAGGGTATTAGCATGTAAGTGAACGTAATGGAGGCGACTGGAATTCGAACTCGGCTCTCCGATTCCTCAATCCGAGCTGCTATCAATTACTCCACGTATTTTAAAAAACGGGAAGAGTGTGAACCGGACGATAGGCGAACATCTACTCCTATTGAGGAGAGAAAAAAGTAAATAAATAGTAAATAAAATTTCAGCGTTTTAGGCGGAGACGTTAGAAGTATGAAGTTGAAGTAGACTTTAAGCGGAACCGGAACCCCAATCTTAAACAGAAAACAAGGAGTAAACCTCTACTCCTGTTCAAAAGACCGGGGAGGAGTGTAAGCTGGGCGATAAGCAAACCTCACTATTTCTATTAAAACTATGATTATTATTATTATTATTATTATTATTATTATTATTTATGCTTTTTTTTTTTCTCGCTAATACCAAACAGTGTCTTTGACATAGTTGTATATATATTAACTGTTATTACTGAATTTGTCTATCGGGCTTTAAATAAGAAAAGCGAGGCACGGGCCGTGGCTTTAGATATCCCGAAGGCGTTTGACAGTGTTTGGCATGTTGACTTTGTTCACAAGCTATGATGTTTCTAGCTGAATATTTGGCTTAATCGAATCGTCCTTAACAAATCGTGTAATGAAGGTCAAGTTGAACGGTCACGCTTCTAAATCAGTTCACATTAATGGAAGTGTGGAGCTCCCCAAGGTTCGTTGCAACTACGTTGTTTATTATCTTCATCAACAAACTTTCCGATATCATCAGTTCCTAAATAGGTATTCATGCTGATAACAAAATTCTTATTATTATCATTGTTTTATTTTATCTGATTTCTGTTGTATACTCATTCCTTTGCGGGTCCCAACCAGAGACCCAAAGTCAGAAATGGCTTCATGACATTTTCCTCTGAGCATTTTTTCGAAAAAAACAAAACACAGAAAACAGCCTAAAATCACACAGATTTTATATAGATAGAGTCCTTCTTAAGATGTGAGCTGTACTTGTGAGTACAATTTTTGTATTTCTTTAAGGCTCACTTCAGTGAGTCTATCGGACCCTTTTTCAATCAATCCGAGTGCTCCATCTACAACTGGAATTATTGATGTCGTCATATGCCACATTTTTTTATTTCTATTTCAAGAATCTTGTATTTTGATAGCAGTGTGTTATCATCATCATCATCATCATTGTCATCATCATCACCATCATTATTATTATTGTGAATATTATTTTTATTGGTGGTGGTGGTGGCGGTGGTGGGGGTGGTGATATTTTTCTTCCTTGGGTTTCTGTTATATATACATTTCCTTCCCGGTCCCAATTAGTGACCTAAGGTCAGAAATGGCTTCATGACATTACTAGCCTTAGGCTGATCATTTTTTGTAAAAAAAAAAAAGATCACACACATTTTACATGGATAAAGCTCTTCATAATCTGTGAGCTATATTTGGGAGTACAACTTTTTGTATTTCTTTAAGGCATGGGTTACCAGGAATCTCTTCAATGATTCTATCTTTTCCAATCAATCCGAGAGTTCCAATTACAACTAGAAATATTGATGTTCTCATGTGCCACATTATTTTTAGATTTCCACTTCAAGATACTTCAAGATACTTGTATCTTGATATTTTTTTTTTTTTTTTTTTTGAAGATCTTCAAAGATACATTACAATCTGCAGAGACTGCTGTGTCAATAAGAAAGCACATTTTGTTCTTGTGGTCTTTGAGCAAAATGTCTGGGCGATTAGGTTTAATTGTTCTGCTTGTGTGTATTGTAAAGTCCCATAGAATTGTAACAGGTCCTATTTCTGTAACTGGGTCTGGGTGATGTTCATACCAGTTTCTTGCCGTTTCCTTCTTGTAAAAGTCGTATATTTTCCAGTGCAGATATTGGTCCACTCTATCATGCTGAGTTTTATATTCAGTGCGGTGCTAACATTATGCAACCTGATTATTATTATTATCGTTTTATTTCCTTTGCTTTCTGGTGTTTACTCATTTCTTTCCGGGTCCCAACCAGAGACCTCAGCTCAGAAATGGCATCATGACATTTTCCACTGAGCAGTTTAAAAAAAAATCGCACATATTTTACATAGATAAAGCCCTTCGTAAGGCGTGGGTTGTATTTGTGAGAAAAAATGTTTTGCATTTCTTTCAAGTATGGGCTACCAGGGATTCCTTCAATGATTTTATTGAAATCTTTTCCAATTAATCCGAAGTCTCCA